GGCGCCCGCGCCCCGCCGGAGAACGAACAGCACCGCGGAGGCGGCCGTCCGGGGTCGACGGTGGGCGCCGCCCCCCCGCCGGCTAACGGGAGCAGGGGAAAGGGCCCGGTACCCGGCCGGTAGCGGGGCCCGGAGCACAAGGCTCTGGCAAAACCGGTGCTGCGGCCAGCCCTTCCCGTGGGAGCCGGGACCAGTGGCGGAGGAGAAGAGTTTTCACCCCTCTTAAGCCAGAGCTCCCTCGTTAGGTCGGTAGAGTGGAGAGGAGAGGAGCGGAGCGGAGCGGAGCGGAGCTGTCTGCGTGCCTGCTCTTGCTTTTATTTTGGTTTTTTGGTACACTGCTTAAACCGGTGTCCTGCTGCAAAGGGAAGTAACTCACTTGCTTCATATCCACAAGTCTTGGACACGCCAAAAGGGCTTAAAATTAACAAAATTGCAACAACCAAAGAGCAGGCACTTGGATAATGCAACATTTTCACTGAAAACAGGTTGCTTCAAAGTACCTTCAGTGGGGCATTTGGAATACTTACCGTCAGTTAGCATAACTACGTAAGAATGGATTTTTTCTTTTTTTCATACTTTCTTATATATCAGGTGTTTCTTTTCATCAGCCAGTTTGAAGCAACCAATCTATTCTTACAAACTTCATAAACGTTAAACCCAAACTAGATCTAGCAGGGGAAGGCAGGCAGGTGTTAGCGTTTGTAAGTGTGTATGTGTGCACATACATAAACACACACACGTACGTTTTGGTAGCTGGCCAGTCAGCGCGCACACCCTGGCCAGCCCTTTGGCGTGCCTGTACATCTCCAGACTGTCTGTAACACCTGTGGTGTTTTACTTCGCAGGATTATCACTGGAGGTCTGTGAAGGACTGAGCTTTGTGTCCAACAGACAGTGGTTTGTCTAGAAAATCACGTCCTTCAAACTGCTAGAAGTGTTTAAATATAACACCTCTAACAAGCAAATAAAACTGTTGCTAGAACTTAAGTCTGTCGAAAGCTTTTGTCCAGATCATTTATGAAAGCTACAGCAGAAACAAAATAGTCACAGTCTTGCCGTGAATGAGAAGGGAAGCGAAGTGCATGAATTAAAAGCATGCTAAATGGGAGAAACAAAAGGATAGGATTATCTTTTGTTTCATTTATTTTGGCAATAGAAAAAAGTGTGTTTCAAGCAAAATGCTAGGACAAATAGAATGGAAATAGGAAGGAAAATGTGTCATCAAATAAAGTAAGCTTTCTACTTGCCTGGAATGCTGTATGTCGTTCTAGTCACCTGCTGTCAGAAAGGATCCTGCAGATTTTGAGGGAACTTGAAGATGGCATATCAGGATTTGGGGGGCTCTGGAAAAAGACAACAAAATTTTTTTTTTTTAAATTATGTATGACATAGGAAGAAAGATAAATAAGCTATGATCAAAGTATACAAAACTCACAAATGGTTTGCAGAAATATATTAGGAGTGTCTTGTCACTTAAAAAAGACGAGCCATTATAACAGTGAAAATACCAAGTCTGCTAAAACAAAGTAGTTATAGAATCATAGAATCATTTAGGTTGGAAAAGACCCTTAAGATCACGGAGTCCAACCGTTAGCCTAGCACTGCCAGGTCCACCACTAAACCATGTCCCTAAGCGCCACATCTACGTGTCTTTTAAATACCCCCAGGGATGGTCCCCCCCCCCCCCCCCTGGCCAGCCTGTTCCAGTGCCTGACGACCCTTTCGGTGACAACCTGGTTGTCACAGAATGTATAATTAGGGTAACATGATTTCATATTGTGGAGGTCAACAGCTCTGAGATGAAGGAAAAACTAGATTTGTGTAGGTAAAAAATACGGATTTATAATGCTAAGAAAAATATGGAAGGGATATAGGATATCAATCTTGAGTTTAGCCTCGGTTTTAATTTTTAAAACTTAGGTTAAGATTTTCATTTTGTTTATCCTGTATGTGCCTTCTGCAGGATGTATTGCATCTTTCTCCAAAGCATCTAGTGCTAACCACTTCTGGAAACAGGAGATGGGACTAGCTGGGCTATGCTGTCATTTGTTGGCTGTCATCATGGCTCTCACTTCTATCATCTGATGGTTCTTTGGGAGCCTGTGCAAAGTAAGCTGGTGTCCAGTTTCAGAGGTAGAAAGGACTGGGTGCAGCCTGGTTGTTTTCACAGCTGACACCAGTTCTGTGTCTGCCATGACTAAGTGACATGTTGGAAGTCTTCGTGATACAAACTTGTAGCTTCAGTCATAGTGCCCTTAACCAAATTAAGCTCTTGGAATTTACCTTTACTCAGGCAGGGAGGAGGAGCAGATACAGTAGTAAAGCTTTCCTCCCTCCTGTGGAAGTAGTCTCGGCAAATTAGGAAAGTAGACGATATATGTGCTTTATTTCTAGTTCTTATATAAAAACTGTACCTTATATGTAACAATGTTATGTTATATTATATACTTATAAGTAGACACTTACACTAATATCTACTTATATCTACTAATGTTGGGGGAAAGTACACTTTTTCTGAAAAATATGCATTGTTGTACCAAATTCACTTTTTTTTAATGACTATATGAAAGCATCCCCAGTCCTTTCTTTGGAGAGCTGGTCGCTTTAGGTGCACAGCAAAGCACAGAATGTAGTGTGGGCTAATTTACTTTATTTTTTGAGAGTAAATTAGCTCACAACAGACTCTACTGTGTAATGCCACGGTTGTGTCACCTCTGGTTACCTGTATGCCCTACTGAAGTTTCTTCAAGTCTGTATTTTGCATTGATGTTTAGTGTTGTTTCACTTTTTCATTACTTGTTTTTACTTGTTGTCATTATTTGTTCTTAAGATTTGGTTTTAATAGCATTTTACAATTTTTTTTTTTTTTTTTCCCCCAAAGATCTTCAGTCTTGATCTTGGAGGTATATCTGCTATTGTACTGAACGGCTATGATGCAGTAAAAGAATGCCTTGTTCATCAAAGCGAAATTTTTGCAGATAGACCGTCTCTTCCCTTGTTTAAGAAGCTGACAAACATGGGAGGTAAGTGCTGCTGTCTTTTATATAAAAATGTAATTTTTGTCCAATAGATGGGTTTGTGATCACATGAAACATTTGCTTTAGCCGTTTTCTCTACTTCTTTATCTTCTTTCATAAAATACTTGATGCTTCTTTAAAGATATTATTTGGAAAGGATTGTCACTCTTGGACAATGTTCCATAGCAAGATGTGTGTAATTTTTCGTCTCGTTTTTTGTCTTGTTAAATAATTTTATTATCTTACGGGGGAAAAAGAAAGCGTTGCATAAAATACTGTGTCAAAATATTTTTTCAGGCTTACTGAACAGTAAATATGGCAGAGGATGGACAGAACATCGCAAATTAGCTGTAAATACCTTTCGAATTTTTGGATATGGTCAAAGGTCCTTTGAACACAAAATTTCAGAAGAATCTATGTTTTTTCTTGATGCCATTGATACATACAAAGGCAGACCATTTGATCTTAAGCACTTGATAACAAATGCTGTTTCAAACATTACTAATTTGATTATTTTTGGAGAACGTTTTACATATGAAGATACTGAATTTCAGCACATGATTGAGATTTTTAGTGAAAATATTGAATTAGCTGCTAGTGCTTCTGTATTTTTATATAATGCCTTTCCTTGGATTGGTATCTTGCCATTTGGGAAACACCAGCAGCTGTTTAAAAATGCAGCTGAAGTCTATGACTTTCTTCATGAGCTTATTGAACGTGTCTCTGAAAATAGGAAGCCTCAGTCACCTCGACATTTTGTAGACGCATATTTAGATGAGATGGATTGCAATGAAAATGATCCAGAATCTACATATTCAAGAGAAAACTTAATTTTCTCTGTTGGAGAACTCATCATAGCTGGGACAGAAACCACAACAAATGTTTTAAGATGGGCACTGTTATTTATGGCTCTTTATCCAAACATTCAAGGTAAGAACTTTGACGTTTTGAGGAACCGATACACTTTCCTATTGCAAATTTAAAATGCTTCTTCAAAGCGGTGCAGTAATCCATAGTCGTAACCAAAAAGGAAGGTTTGTATATATTACTCTATTGTATCATTTGCCAAATATACTATGGACAGATGTGAAAAGCTTATTTTATATGCAGATGAAGTGGATATCAAAAGTCAAGTATGATGATAAGATTTTAGCATATTATTTTGTGAATACATTTTTATGAAGCTTTAACATTTTTAATAAAGTATTTCTGATATATTTAAGTTTAGTGTTGTGATGCATAATATTGGTTGGCAGATGTACTCATCTATGTAGTTAATAAATAATAAGCAAATGCAATTAAATGTGAAAGTAATAAACTAAATCAAAAATGTCAAAACATCAGTAAAAATGTAAATCAGGTTGTGGTTAACAGTTTAGGTACAATTTCTTTTTATCCTTAAGTAAGTGCCTCAATTCACAATAGATTTACATATTATAGACATGTATATTTATACTTTTGGAAGAACAAAAATAGCATTTAAAAATAAAAAGGTGTGTTACAGTCATTCCAAAGTAAGGCAGCAATAGATGTTTGAATGTCATGCTATAAACAGTGAAAGTTGTGGTTAACAGTTTAGGTACAATTTCTTTTTATCCTTAAGTAAGTGCCTCAATTCACAATAGATTTACATATTATAGACATGTATATTTATACTTTTGGAAGAACAAAAATAGCATTTAAAAATAAAAAGGTGTGTTACAGTCATTCCAAAGTAAGGCAGCAATAGATGTTTGAATGTCATGCTATAAACAGTGAAAATCATTCAGCTTAAATAAAGAAGTTGATGCCAAAGCTCTTTGGTTGCTGCTATTGTCATTATTTTAAGTCCCATATTCACTGAGCTGGTTAAAATATCTGACTAAGCAAGTAGAACCAAAGTTTGCTCAAATATCTCCTGAGAGCTGTAACTTCTTACATATTTTCTTATTTTCATTTACTCAACTATTTTAGTTAGTTGATTAATTGAACATGAGGAAACTGATTAAAGATTAAAAAATAGGAAAACTTTCTTCTAGCCTAGGATTAAAAGCAAGATCTAACAGGATTTGAGTTGTTAATTTAAAAAACCTTGAGGGACATACTTAAGAGTAATATGTAGCTTCAGCTCACTAAGTACAGCTAATAATCTTTTTTGTGGATGCTTAAAACTGCGATTGCTATTTTTAACCAGTCAGCACATTTCAGACAATTTAAAACAAATGGATTTAAAAAAAATTAAATGTTGCTTCTATGCTTCTGAGTTCCACTGATTCATCTATGTGCTCTACACTGTATAATAAGAAAATCTACCAAAAAAGAAAAACATTTAATAAAATGAAAAAATAGAATCTGATTTCATAGGTACTTAAGTTTTAGGATGCGTATGTACATTGTCCATATTTTAGTTAAAAATGTATTAAGTGCCGTAATTAGTCAATAGGATATATTTATGCTTTACATTGTATAAAAAGCCCAAATGCAAAAAGGTCCACTTAAATCAAAGTTGTCAGTCTGTCCGAGTTCACAAGCAATATTCATATCTTAAAACAAGAACATCCTTATTCCTTCTCTATTACGATCTGACCGAGATACTGTTTTTCAATAAAGATCAAGAAAACTGTCATTTTGTGTCTCCTATGCGTTGGCTGATTTTGTAGAGATCCACTTACCTAAAATAATCTTCTGATCTCAGATCTTGTGATACAATGAGTTTCTGAATTTGGATTCAAAATCAGCTCATCTGGATAAAAATAAAAATTACTGTTACCTTTCATTTATTTAGACTTTCTCTCTATCCAAGTATTACAATATACACCGATACACCACTACATCACAGAATGTACTTTCACTAAGCTGCTTTTCACCTCTTTATTTTGATGTGAAACATTGCCACTTCAGGTTGAAAACTGGTGACTCTGGTAGAATTTTTCTGACATTGCCCAGATTTTTATTATTGGTTCCACATGAATTGTAAAAGTCCAACTTTGTTTTAGTTAGGAGCTGTTTGGCAGTTTCAACAAAGAAAGAGTATCAGGAAAAAGAAGAGACAGTTTGAATGCCTTTGAGATTATTTAAATAATCTGTGAACTTAATTTTTAAAAGAGCTTAAAAATAATCAGTGATTGAATTTTTCCTTTTCAGTTAAATTCAGACTCCTCTCCCTCTTAGCTCTCACTGTGTTGTATCAGATATTTAATGTACACAAGCAAAGAAAAGTATGTTAAAACATGATTTTACTGAGAATAATTACTTTCAAAATGAAGATTACTGGTGTATATGCTAGTAATAATTCCTACTAGCAGGTTAAGGAATATAGAGTCTAAATTTAAAAGCTTATAGGCTACTATATTTTATATAACATATTTCATGTTTCAGTATCCTTTTAAAAGTATGTATTTTATAGCTTAAATTAAAAAAATAAGGGGTATTACACAATAAACATCACCTTTTATTCCTGTTCCTAACAGGGCAAGTTCAAAAAGAAATCGATTTAGTCATCGGCCCAAACAAAATGCCTGCCTTAGAAGAGAAATGCAAAATGCCATACACTGAGGCTGTACTACATGAAGTTCTAAGATTCTGTAATATAGCTCCACTAGGTATTTTTCACGCAACTGCCAAAGATACTGTTGTGCGTGGTTACTCTATTCCTGAAGGCACTACAGTCATTACAAACCTCTACTCCGTTCATTTTGATGAAAAATACTGGAGCAATCCAGAAGTGTTTTTTCCTGAGAGATTTTTGGACAGCAGCGGGCAGTTTGTCAAGAAAGATGCATTTATTCCTTTTTCACTAGGTAAGAGTGATTTCTTCCACTGTTCCCTTTTCATAAATCTAGAGATGTATAACATATAAGTGATCGCAATAAATCAGGAATGGACAGAATGATATAAAATATCCACAGTCTGATGAAACAGCTATTTTAAAGATATTCAGTATAATGCACTCGGGACGTAACACATTTCAGCATAATACCTTTTGTCTAGATGAGCTCATTATTATATATAAACTAACAAAAAAGACAGCACAATATCTTCTTATCTGAGGAGTCTATACATTTTATATCATTGCAGTAGGTAAGTGTTATTCATTTCACAATTAATAGTCATTTGCTGCTAAAGTCATTACATACAGGTGATTTACACAACCAGCCTTCAAATTTCAGCACTTAGATCAGCACCAGAAATTGCAGGTTTTATTCAGAACTAGCTTGGGGGTCAGCACGTAGCACTGCATTTTGTCCTGAGGAGATAATCTGGCAGTCCTAATTCATTATGGATTTGTCTTTTGATGCCTGTAAGAGTGGATAATTTACCTTAATATGGATATTAATATATACCTTAATATGGATAATTTACCTTGCATATGATTATCAGCCTAAAATATTAGGTGTTCTGTATAAGCTAACTGCCAGGGCTACCTCTGCAGTCCATAGAAAGACATAGCCTTGTGTAGAGGGTGACTTAGTTTGCTTATCTGGGATACTCTTTCTCCAAAAAATAGAAGGAGACAAGACAAGACAATTCCCTTGGAATAGATGCGCAACATCTAAATGGCCAAAGTTAGATCTGATGAAGTCCACCTTTATTGTGTATTGTATTACGTTTCTTTTTGCCAGTTCCAGATGTTGATACCCATTCATCTGTGTCTTCCACAACCACATTTACACCCTGTAACTAGTCATACACGGAATGGGAACTAATATTTAAAGGTATTATCAAGACCTGTTTCATATCTTTCTACTTACCACATTATAAAAATTGCCAGGTAATAATGACTGGCAGTAAGTGTAATTAAGAAAATAGCAGGGGACAAAGGCTGAAATGCACAGTATCATTTTTTTAAAACATCTTCTGTCTCGATTGGCATTTCAAGACGAGATAAAGTAGCTAATAGCTTATCTAAATAAATTTGACAGAATTAGTTACAATGGCATTTGTGTAGTGAGAGGAACAAATTCTCTAAAATCTGTTTCTTGCTGTAAATTATCAGTTGTCCTTTCTTACAGAATACTACCACCAAGTTCATACAGCTCCTCTTAGGACACAGAAATGACCATTCTCGTTCATAATAAGAGCGAAAATGTAGTTGAACACATTTCAAGTCTTTTCAAAACCTTCTTTTCAATCCAGGAAGAAGACATTGTCTTGGAGAACAACTAGCTCGAATGGAAATGTTTTTGTTTTTCACTTCATTACTACAACGATTTCACCTGTGTTTTCCTCATGGCGTGATTCCAGATCTCAAACCAAGATTAGGCATGACATTACAACCACAGCCATACCTCATCTGTGCAGAAAGACGGTGAAGAGAAGGGTCTAGGTTGTCAGGTGGAGCACAATGCTCCAAGTTGCAGCTGAGGATCCACTTTGCCTTCTATTTCTAAACGTGTTCATGTCAGAAGAACAAAAATTTAAAGGACTTGCAGATAAATTCTGACTATTTGTGCACAAGTTAATAGTTTCTTTTTACTCGGTTTTCACAAAGAAAAACCTCAACCAAAAATGTGAAACACATCCTGTGTTTAAAGTTGATGTTTTCACTCCAGAAGTCTGTTTTGAATCTAACTTCTGTTTCAGCTGTTAAATATTTAATTACTTAGCAAGCCACTTTACTTTGAGAGGATATTTTTATAAGCATGGAGAATATGGCTCAAAATGTTTATACTCGGATTCATCCGTGGAAATCTCATTTACATTATTGCAGCTAAGCTGTTCTTTATAATTCTCCATTAAATGTACATTGCTAAAAAGGTTTTAAAGGTATCTATTTAAATTTCTGTAACTCAGAATAAACTATCTTTTCCAGCCTTGACAAACAAACTGTCTATTAAAGCATTTTCATCCTTCCTCTCCTTGCCCTATCTTCCCAGTTGGTCATGATTTTCTAGTGAATCAGATAACTGTGTGAATTCACTTTTAAGATCTTTTAGGGCTTGCTTCTCATTTAGTAACATACACAAAGTGTTCAATTATGCCACAGTCCTGACAATTATAGCAATCTTTTTTGCCAGTTTATTGCATTTCCAGACACATGTCCTCCATTGCCTCCCAACACAGATCATTGTGTAACGATTAATCTCTGCCTAAGTAGTCTGGAAAAAACAGTGTTTGTGTTACTAGAGTCACATGCAACTACACCACCAGTCACAAAAATAAGCTGCTCATGAGTCTGACCAGAAAATAAACCTTTTTGGGAGGGGGAGTGGAATAGGGTGGGGAGAAACAGATTTTAAATAGACTTTAAGCACAAGTTTTAGGCATAACAGCTACTCTTGACTTCTGCCAGCTTCATTTTTTATTATTGACAGCTATTGCTTTGTGGTTATTGGTAGCTAAAGATTTATGCATGCAGGCCCTACAGGAGAACCTGATACTCTAAATATGGTATGGTCAGTCCCCACCATGTGGGGAGAAGTAGGGCCTCAGAATAGGGTTCAGAACAAAACACACACTGAGCAAGTGGCTATTTAAGGACAGGGCTGAATATTAGACCTTGCTCTTTATACAGTTTATGTTTCAGTTTGGAGCTGCAGGAAAGTTCGAAGGCAGGAATTGGTGGTTTTCTGCTGACCTGATGTTTACAGCTTATACTGAGTGGAAATACTTAATTTCTTTTGAAATAGCAAAAGAGGATCAAACAGCGCTAATACCAGTCCACTTACATAATAGCCTGTTGACTTTAAGATGCAGCAGGTCCAGATTTAATTACTGACTCTGTCTGAGGGTAGTCAGACCCACATGTCCCACAGAGAGCATCTCAGACACATGTTCCTGATGCTCTGAAGAGGGTGGGCAGGCTACTCCTCTTGCTGAATAACTGCCTTTCTGTAGAGAAGATTTAAGATTCAAAAAGGAGAGGAGGGAGCTAAGCGTGACTGCTGTGCATTGGGCACACCATGAAAGCTGCTAATAAACCGCTCCTAAGATACTGGCAAACAGCGGGGCTTAGGAGTCAAGATTGAGGCTTTTCTGGATACCTGCATAAGTAGATGCTGGGTGCTTGTGAAATGCTTAACAAAAAATTGTGGAATCTACCTAATTTAGGTGCCTTCAGTATGAAGCAATACTGAACAGAGTATTCAGTGCTACAGTTCTGGACTCGTAATTCTTCCTATATTCCACCCTGTGCCCTTAGACCAGACAGCCAGAGTTTTGTTAGTATCTAGGCTTGCCTTCTGGGTTGCAAGAACTCTAGGACATCCTTTGGTTAACATGGTTCAAATAATTCTAACTGAAGTCGGGGGAGGATTAATAAAAATCAAGAACCAGTTCTTGCGGGGGCTGTGCTCAAAATGCAGCTGGCCAGTGATAATTCCCTTTTGCTGAGGTATTTTGAGATCTAACGCCTGGCTAGTCTTTAATCCATTTAATGAGAACCACATTCATTATATGTTATTCTCGTTTCTAAATCAAAACGCCTTATAAAAGCCTCAGAATATCAGTCCGAACTTTTACTATTACCTGCCAACTTATGGTCTCATTTAAGCAATCAAATACATTCGGCAAACAGTCTTTTCTAGAAATCTATATCAGTATTAGTTATATTTACATGTTTCATTCTGTATTTTCTCTCTGACTTAAAATTATCTTAATGATTCAATTTAATAATTTGAAATACTGACATAATAATTTTTTCCAGTCCTCCGGAATTTCTCCACTGTATCAAGATTGATTAGTAATGAACATCAGTAGCCAGCCAGATGTTCAGAATTTCCTGGTGAGAGTTTTCTACAGCTGAAATACCTAGCATAGCTGGCTGCTATTTAACATTGTTTTGGGATTAAAGGTTGATATATTAACTGGTATATCTTTTTCTGGTTGTAGAATTTAAGGATGAAAAAAGACATTGTGATGTGTCAAGGTAAGATTGTTCCCATTTGCAGAAGTTTTTCCTATCTGGCTATAAATGTCCTAATGTTTTGGATTAAAACAACGTGTCCAGATACTGATGGAAAGATTTCTTGAAATTTAAGTTGTAACCTCTCCATTTCTGTATATTAATGCCATTTATGGCGCTCTTGGTTTCACCATTTTTCCAAGTTTTATTCCCTCCAGTATTTATAGTCTTCTCATTTTTGTCTTTTGCAGAGTTAGCTTTTTGAATTCATGATGATAGTTTAGAACTGGAAGCCCTGTTTCCACATACAGGTATATCACAACCACAAGAAGAAACTTTCATGTACCTTCTCTGTAACTCCACTGCTGTTCCCAAAGGCAGTGAAGGACTTTTTGCTGTAAACGTAGCTAAAAATGCATATTCAGCTTGCCTTTGCTGCTCTCAATCCCTGTACAGTTTTGAATCATTCTTTTTTCTAGTTTGTCCATGAAAAAATCCACTTCAGCTTTTTCCCTTCCTGTGAGATTATTGCAATTTTTTTGGTCTTGTTCAGTATTTGTAAATGCAGACTAGATTCAGCAGTCTTTCCTAAGGAATAGGAATTTTAGGATTAAGACTTGATTTTATATTCTTAATTATTTTAATTTCTCCTTGAACAATAACTAGCTGTCTTTTCTGAGTATAATCACAGAAATCCTGCTAATTGGAGGAGAATATAGTCAACTCACCATTGTATTAGTTCACTATATCCCATTCAAACGTCTCCACAGCCAACTACAATGTAGTCCCAGAAGGAAGATTATGAGCTGCTGTATGTTTTTCCTACATCTATTTTCTCCATCTTGGCTCTGGTTTTGTATACTTGCCCTAAACCAGAAACTCTAGAAGTGGTTCTGTGCCTTTGCTTTTTCGTGCCATTTCTGTACCGCGAGAATGGGTGCTTTCTGCCCTATTTCTCAGACACAGTCTATTCCTGTATCTATTCCTAGACTTAAGTCTAGGCCCAGGGCAACGCATCTTGCTATCCAGCAGGAGATTCCCTTCTTAACACTGATGCAAGAGCAGCAGTCAGTACCACCATAGTATCTTAAATCTTCCTTTTTAAAACTCTATCTTTACACTGAAGTTTTTGGGTTAACCTTGCCCATGCCAGCATCCCCAGAGACTGAAAAGGGAACGCTACAAGCATGTCATGTACGACACTGAAAGAATGCCGAAGAAAATCTTACTCTTTAGCACTTCATTTCCTGAACTTCCACCAGTTTCTGTGGTATTGGCGAACATAAGCTTAGTGTGAACCTAATAAATGCAGGAAGGTTCATTAATTTATGCCTTCAGAAATTAACTATACAAAGTGAGATTTCATAAAAGTTCAAGCAACATTACTGCTTCTCTGAAAGTAAATAGTTTGAATTTATTGTGATATATTCTTTATATGTATCCAGAATATGTTGTGAGAGAAAGACCTAGAGAATCATAATAATGCTTTTTTGTTAGTTTGCCAGTACGTACTAGAAATAGTTCAGCTAACTTGGGCTATATGCCAGGATGTAGCTACATCTTTTTTCAGTGAACAATGTCTCATGTCTTAGATCTCAATTTCTCTTAATAAGGGAATGATAAAATAGAAACAGGGGAAAAGGAGAACATTATAGCTGGTGTTTATAATATATCATGTATTTTAATGTTGTGTACACACTGTCAACTGTGTAATGTTTTAACTGGGAACTAATAACTGTCCAGAGAATTGGTCATATCATCTGGAAAATGAGAGAAAGTTAAATAAAGAGAAAATTATAAATAGGGAAGAAAAGAGTAGATTGAAAGCAAAAAGACAATGTGTTCTAATTTTTGCAATTATTTACAAATCATCATGAAGCACGAGTGTTTTATCTGGAAAAATAATTACAGTTCTTTTGATGACATTTCTGGATTGAATTGGTAGAATTTTTCAGACTAAGTACCAGAAGTCACTGTATCTGTAGCAGCCAAAGTGCTATTTCAGACCGAAATGTACAAAGAGCCTACTTCTTTCATCCTTAAACTAAGTGTATCATAGAACTGTGGTAATTTTTAATTCTGTACAGAATCAGGGTTGGAAAGGAGCAAAACTCCCTCATGATTTAGATCTGTAGTGACTTAAGAGCTAAAATATGCCTGGAAGATGTGATCTCCCTTGTCCATGGTTTGAGTATCACCGCAGGAAACGTGAACTGAACCTGCAAGGAAAATTGCCTTTTCATTGGGCAGAATCAATAGTTCCTTCTCCTATGGGGATATGCCACTGTATTATAGGTAAAGGGAAATGCGGTGCCCAGGAGCCCTAGAAATCTTGAAAGAGAGCAAAGTGAATATGCTCTCTGTAGAGCCAGAATACAGGTTATGGGGGACCACGATCTGGCATTAGGGGGACCTTGCTTAAGCAGCCCTGGAGACCCATGGCAATGCCATCTTTAGCCTGCAGGTGGCTGGACAACAAGCTGGTAAATTTTCAGGTGTTTTGTTGAGGATAGCT